CATCAGGGATGCTTTTTCTGCCATACCAGTCCTTGGGCTCCAGCAAGAATGAAAATGCCACGTTGCCCCAGCAGTGCGTAAATGACACTTCAGATATCTCATTGGTTACGTGAAACCATCATCTCTAAATTCACTTGTAGCTTCAAACTACAACATATCCTTCCTCCCGCCTCAATGTTGCCCATAGAGCCAAGCTCCTCATGAAATGGTACTCGTGATTTAACCTTACTGAGAAATAGATGTTGCCATCAGGAAGAACACCACCAATCACGAAATCTGCTCCAGAAATCTCCTTATTAACGGTGAAGCCAAAAGCCACCCATCCGGTTGACTGGGCTTGAAACTCAAAACTCATAATGGAAAGTTCATCATCATAGTCCCATCGGAGGAAAGTCTGATGCTTGGGATCCAGGAATACAGAGAAACGCAGACGGGGAACTAAGGAGTGGCTGGAGCAAAGGCACAAGGTAGACGTGAGGAACAGCAGGCTTTTCATGGATGAATGGTTCATCTTTGCAGGAGACCCTGCTTTTTTGTTCTCTCTCGTGTCTTCTGACAGAGCTGTCCTTCAACAACCATCCTGCGGGGTGGAGGAGACCCAATTTATACAAAAAACTGGGACCAGCTGGGATCCCCGCCAAAGAGGAAGGACAACACTTTTGGTTCTGCAAGATCAGATTTCGACCCTAGGATCTGTCTTTCATTTTATGTAATAAAGTGGCATGCTTCCCAAAAGGCATTTGTTGATGCCTTTTTACATAAGGGAGGCTTCTTCTTGTCCAAGTATTGCAAAATGTGCAAAATACACATCTTCCAGAAGCATTGGTGAAGATGTAGGCTCTACTGAATGTGAAGCAAAGCAGAACGTTTCTGAAGTGTGTGAACATTTTGACCACCTCTAACTTTGTTGGTGTCTCAGTCTGAGGAAAGAAAGAGAGGAGACGTCATGCTCTGTTCCCTCCAGCCTCTTTGTTTCAGTCTAGGGGTCTGGCAGGCAAAATCCTCAAAACTGCACGGTCCCACAGGCAGCCACCGATCTGTATGTCAGTGTGCACGATCCAAGCAGTTCCCCATGACTTCTCACCAGGTTCCAACTACGAAATGTGTCTTACATTTTGTGTTTGTTTGGGATATGAACAATGGGTCAAAAAGTGCTACCAAACAGGGCAAATATTCCAAAATTGTAATTATTGGTCCATTGAAGTAAAATAGGCCTCTGTAGCCAGGTGCTTTTGCCCAATCCCAGGCTTATAGAATTGTCTTGCCATTGTTTCATTTCCCTCTTATTCCATTAGGTAATATATTGTAAGTGATGCCCCATCCTCCCACATTACTAGGAATGCCTCTTTTTTTATTTTAAAAAAGATTCATCACCACCTT